TGTTACTTCTAACGACAATCACTTTGTCTGTGTACAATGAAACAACTCTTTGGAGAGATGGGGAGAGGAGGGTGATACATTCAGTATGTGTTACTTATTAAGAGCAATGAAAAAAGTCTCATTAGGCACGCACACAAGTAATACATTTGTGGAAGGAGAATTTAAAAAGTCTGTCAGTCCAAAGTGGAGACAAGAGGAAAATGTGGAGAGGGAATTTGTGAACTTTGAGAGCAGAGGCCAGGACCAAGCCTTGAAGACAACATGTATCATGGTTCTTCTTGTAGTGAGGCATAACAGTCAAGAGAGTTTCACACAACGCTGAGAACTTTGAATGCGGCAAATACTGAAAGACTAAGCAAGTTCTAGACATAAAAACAACAACGCAATTATTAGAAGGCATCGTGTTGGAGACACCAAGTGCAAAACATCTGTGTCAAGCTGTTATAGCTTAAAGCCTAGTATCACAATTTCCTGCATTAATGCTTGGGTTTAAATGCGTGCAAACATCTCATTGTTAATGTGTTTTGCAGTGTTTAGATGAGGCAGGTGGCCTTTAACAGACACACAAAGCTACAACAACACAGCACAGAGAAGATATGAAAGAAGATTCAGGTGGACAGAAGAGGAAAGCTGCCCCTGGGAAAACTAAGAGCGTTCTTTTGTGATGAAGTGCATGGCCTGGGTTAAACTAACACATCTTCAGCACAGTTTTACCAGATTACAAAAACAGTGACATCATCCGTAGCCTATTTGATCAAAGTCTTTAGATATAAACACACAACTTACGGCATTCATGCAATCAGACAACGCCATTCAATTTGGATAAGTCCAAAAGCCTAAGCAAACTTCAGCTCCAAAATCAACTACACCAATCAAGATAAAGATGTAATATGTAATTTTTAAGCACCAATATCTGGTCAAATTCATAACAGTTTGGGTGCTGTTTGTCTTCAGCGTCTGTGTTATGTCAGTCAGTCAGACAGCTGATTTGACCTGGGATTTATCTGCCCTCTGTTCCATGAGAACACAAAAAAACTGAACAAACCAACGAGGGGTATCACTGTATCTGTGTGAAAACTTTGACCTGCAACACAAGGTTTAAACAATAAGTCACTGTGTATTTGTTTTGGCTATGGACTTGTACACTTTGACTAACTCAATCAAAGCTTGAGTGGAAAAATAAGATCGCTTTTTTTAATAGACTGGGCTCTCAGGAACTGCCCAGGGAATTGAGGCCTTATCGGCCTTTTAGTTCTTGGATTGAAGGACACTTTGGTGTCTGTGTGCATAAAATGATGCAGGAAGTAAACACTAATGCTACAGCCAGTTTAAAATATTGTTTTTTCAGTGTACGCATGTTGTCATCTTGGCTAAAACCTTAAACTGAGTTAAGGAGTTTAAGCAGAAAAAACTGCCTGATATCTGCAAGACGTTGCTGAGACAGCCATATGTTGAAATGTCTTCTGTTGTGTCTAATCTAAACCAAACTTTGGCAAAAGTGTGCATCAAGATCCTAGAGAGCAAAAAAAGAAGAACTGCTGTGGGAATCAGTGGGTAGGTCATCTGAGGACATGGGCATGCATGTGTGTGTTTGTGAGTGTGTGTAAGCATGTAAGAGAAGAGCAGTGGGAGGATGTGTACCTCTATGAACTGAAAACACACACAACAACAAGCTGCCAATAAAACGGCACAAAGAGCAAAACCTTCCAATAAAGTAAGTCCATTCACACATCACAAGTGAAAATGCACGCAGACAGTCGATTCCTTCTTGAATCTATCAGGAAATTGGACGATTGGGATCTTAATCAGACAATAAAATAAACAAATGAGCAGCTGGAAGCAGACTGTTCCAATTGGTGGGTGGCTTGTAAATCTTTGTTCATCCAAGATTTTCACATATTCAGCACATACTGTTGTTGCCTCAAGTTTTAGTCGTGGTTTTATAGGTTCGGAAAATTTTCACCAATGCAACGCGTTTAAATGTTGTTCAGAGATACAAAAAAATACAACCAAAAGAAACATTACTTAGAGAACAAAAATAGAAGAGTTTGTTTCTTGTGTGACACTTTTCTGCGTCTTAAGACTCACGATTGGCATAACACCACTGGAAAATCCCATAAAATTCTGCAGATCAGAGTGTGAGTTGAAACCAAAACACCAAGTGTAACGGCAACAGACTCTATTTTTATATGTTACCAATACGAAACTTGTAAATAAGTAGTGTTTCAGTAGTAGCTACAATGGTTCAGTTTTCTGTTAATCTGGATGATTTAACTGAACACTATCCAGCTTTAAAGTGAATATAAAGAAAATGTGTATTTCTTGAATTGTTAATACTAGTAAAACTTAGTACTTTCTTGTCACTACAAATGATATGATTGTTGTGTCACTTTGATCTTCAAGTCCCGAGTATTCAGTTTTGTTTATTTTTTGTTTAGAGACCGCAACTTATAAAAAGAAAAAGGACGAGAGACAGATTTAACAAAAACGTGCTGGGGCTGTGCCTTATGTTTCGGCCAAAAAAACAAACGAATAAAGTTTGGTGATATTCCAGATACACATCTGGGTTTGGATTTTAAGACATTAATCTCCAAGAACAGGAAGTGTATTGACACAAAGAACATTTATTTGCCCTTAGCATAGGTCTGTGATTTATCTTGTTTGTTTCCTTAATTCAATTGACATTTTTACGTTCTTAAATGCTATAGAACAGTGGTCCCCAACCCCCGGGCCGCAGACCAGCACCGGCCGTGGGTTAATCGGCCGCACAGAAAGAATGTATAACATTATTTCAATTTTATTTATCTGATTTTGAAAAATTACCGGATTCTCTCCGCCGCATCTGTCTATGACTCACACCTGATGTATGTCAAGATGCTTGCCTCGGTCACATGGCTAAATTGAAAACCCTCAAGCTAGCAAAATGAACTTTAAAAGACAAGCGCAATGTTACGAGGATGCCGCTAATTAAGTTGCATACACAGTGGATTAACATTTATTATTATACTTAGAAACTACCAAAAGAGAAAGTAAAAGAAAAATAAGATATTTAACCGGTCCGTAGCACAAAAAAGGTTGGGGACCACTGCCATAGAAGACCTACAGCTATAGGCAGAAGTCCAAGTTAGTAAGAGCTCACTCATGTTGCTTACGGAGATTGAAGTAAATATAAACAGGATCTTGATAATTCATGGAAATATAAAAGGAAATGTGGCAAAAAAACAAGTAAAACCTTAAAACACACACAATAAACATTTACCCAGTTGCTGTTAGCAATCGATTTGCAAAGAAAGCCAGTATGTGGTTGTCACTGCAAGAATGGTAATATACAATAAATTAATTAGTTCTGTACAAGAGTCTTCTTACCTGTCCGTCCTGTCCAACATGTACCTGGTGGATCTGCAGGTTTCCCTGAAATAGAGAAATGATCAGTGAGAACAGTATTTCCACTGCAAAACACAGCGCTGACCTCTAGTATTTCTTTACAACAGTTACTGCAAAATAACAAGCCTTAAACACAACAAACACAGGAAAAAAACTAGCCTAAATTCAGTGACTGAAGTGTTTTAGGAGTATGAATAAATGCATCAGATTAGTAAAGTATAAGTATAATGAGTCAGTAACAACTTCATTTGAAGTTTATTTGAACACATCTCCCTTCTCATCCAAGTAGCTGCTTCAGTTATGATCATAAATGGTAATGCCAAGCCTTTTAATCTCACTGAACTCTAGTACCATGCTGCCTGCCATTTACTTGAATGAATCTTTCCAATACAGAAGCTGAGCAGCTTGGGTGTAAAGTGCCGGCTGAGCTTCTTCATCCAATGTTTCCATTTAATAAATCAAGGCACTGAGGTCACTGAGGATAGGTACATCACTATCCTTTTAGCAGACATGGGAAAATGTTCTGAAAACAGCTGACAACTATGCAAAGGTCAACACTCGAGTCAATGACGTCAACAACTATGAGACTCTGAAGTGAGACTCAACCTGTAGCTACAAGGCGGTACAATTAGGTCTACAGGAGAGGGGCATCCTCTGCCTTTACAGACTATCCGAGATCCACATAAAAGGGATATTCAGCAGTAGCTTCAACTTCCAAGTATGTATAACCAAATCTGCTGGATTTGGAAAATTATTTGCAAAAGAAGTCTGAAAGCAAACTCTGTGGAGGTGGACAAAACGGACGAGGGACATCTGCAAAGCTGTTCATATCCTAGGACAGTGATTCTCAGCTACGGGGCTGCAGCCCACAGTTGGGACACAAGCACCATCTATAAGGGCCCTAAATTCTTTTTTAGAACTTGAGGGTGACAAGGCCATTGTTGATTAGTTTCAGAGACTAGAGATAGGTCTGTTTAAACGCTTACTTAGTAATCTGTCACTCTGCTGTTTAACAAGCTCCAATAAGTAGGAGATATTTAGCCGGACAGTAGCCTGTAGAGAAACTATTGAGAAAAAAATGATAACTAAAGACACATTTAGTGACTTAATAGATGACAACCCAGTTCTGATTATCAGTTGTAGTTCAGTCTGACTAACAACTGCAGTACCATTGGGTTATTGGAGAACAATAACTAAAGCCCACTGAAGTTAAAATTTTGGCTAGGATCTCTTACTATCAAAAATGAAAAAGCTTCTTAAACAAACAGAAATGCCTTTAACTAAAAGTTCAGTTGCTACTGACTCACACCATTTGGAGAACATTTTGGATCTTTGTTTGAATTTAACACACCATAACCCTAACCCCACCCTGGGAGAACAGACATGGCCAAAATCAAGACAGCCAAAATCAAGTTAAATGAAAAGAAATTAGCACGTTTTCTGGATGTCATGTTTCCATTATTGCCGATTGGAGCTGGAACTGATAAAAATGTGTCTCCACTGTGGAGTCATTTGATCCAGAAGTGGAAGATTGAATCCATTCCCAATGCAGATGAAAGCCAGATGTAAGGGTTTGGATAAAAAGCAAAGGTGCTTGAGACATTTACCTTTGAGCAATAAAGTTAGCTTCTTTGTTATTTAACTGACCTCAAGTACTAACTAACCACTCACAACGGACAATCGAACAACAAGCTGAACCCAGTATTACCATATTACCAGTGATTCATACATACACTAAAAAAGAAAAGTTTTAAATAAAAACATCCTGGCTTCCTTAGCCTCAAGTCTGGGTGTGTAGATTTGACAAAATTGCATACATCTCATTAAATGATAAAATTCATATTAAGTGAAATAATAAGTACTAAACTTGCATAGAATATTTTTTTTCTGATTAAAACATTGCAACTGAAACACAAGACACAATTGCAAAGGCAAAACCAATAGTTCATAGGCTTTGCCAAGATGCAATTGTCATCTTTAAAGTTTTCTGTGATATAAACAAGTTTTTCCCTAGCATGATAAAAATAATGTCTACAATGGGTATGGTCTATTCCTAATGAAAACATAATGAATGAGTGGCAGCTGGTAAAAAGGGATTTCGTTGCTAAGCTTTGAAATTTGGAATAACAAACAATACCATACAATGGGAAGGAGAGAGGAGGGAAAAAAGTTGGACACAGCAACAAAAAGCAGGAAAGGCTTTGGAGCCTTTCTGCCCTCGATTCACTCTCACTCAATAGAGCTCCAAAAGCTGTCTTTTACCAAAACTGAAAAGGAAATGAGAAAAACTCTTGGGCAACATGTCAAATTCATAAGCCAAAAACGCATGTTTGACATATTGTATACAAGTATGAATGCTTATAAAGACTTGTGGCTTGACACAATCCCTCGATATCCACAAAAATGTATTAACTATGAAGCAGTGTTGTTTGGTGTTAGATTCTGATTTTATCTGACAGGTCAACTTAACACTCAGTGTGTGAGCTGAAATATCTGGTTTGGGGCATAAGACATCTGGGCACTGTGCAGAGATGGTCTTTAGTCCATTAAAAGTCCTCTTAAATTTAGCATTTAACACACATGAGGTACGTTTAGGTAATCACACATAAACATCACTTGCCTCACTATCCTGTGTGATCTGGACCTCTTCTCCTTGTGGCACCTGCGCAATGTGCAACTGGCCTTGTGGAATCTGAGAGACAAAAAAGAAGACAAGAAAGCATAGTATTGATTCGACTGGCATCAAGAATGTAAACATGTCGAAACAGCAAAAGGCAAAGAGTATGTGAAGTACAAAACAGTACATTTTTAGGGCAGGTTGCCATGACTTTGGTACAAGATAGAACAGCCCCAGCTCTGTGTCTATTCTTTTGTTAATGCAGTGTTCAGTATGGTTTTAACGGTCATCTCCTCTGGATGTAAATAGCATTGACAGGCTCCATTCAAGTCAACACTTGGTCTGTGTCCCATGGTTTGAGTAAGTAAAGCAGCAGCTGTTGCACAAATGCACCTTTGCACTGATTGTTTACACTTTATTGAGCCCCCACTAAGGAAATTGTTGTGTAATCCCACAACATTAATGGAACAATTATTAGTAATTTAGCTCACATGATTGATCAACTCGATCTGGCTGAAGAGAACCTCCCGAGGTTACACAGCAGGTGTCTACACAGCAGTCGGTGTTTTTTTGGTTGATTTTCAAGTTACAACGTTGTGTTGAGTGCCCAGGAATCTGTACAGCATTTAGAAAATGCTACGGCATGTCGGTTTTAACAACCCACAGATAATCCACTGTGTGGTCTACACACGCACACACTGCCATTCTCCAGCCTATGTACTCCTACTGCCTCCTCCTATGTATTATTTTGAGTGCAGCTTTATTTCCATCGAAGAACTGTAGTTATTTTGCCGTGAAAGATTTAGATTCTGTGCCATGTCTTAGCTCTGGGGCCCCCAAACAGCAAACATTTAAAAGGAAATTATGCTAAATTTTTCAGGTCTAGTGGCAAAAGACTAAATGACACTCTGCCTTGTCTTCACTGGAAAGAACTCTTCACCCACAGCATGTTAATGCCAGCAGGGGTGCTGTTCTGTACAAACCTGTCTAACACCAGAGAAAACTTGCTATACTGCAGTGGTGCCTCATCCTTTTTAATTGCTTAATCGTTTGAACTGTTTTTAAATGAATTATATTTATCAAAATAAATATGAATATATGCATTCGTGACGGCAGTTGAAGTTCATATATTAAATGAAATTAAACTGAAAATATATCTGCTCCACAAATCCAACATATACTACAAAACCTAAAATCTGTAAAATGGTTATTTGTTTAAACCTTTTCAAGTGTTCTAATGGTCTAAAATAAAGAATAAGAAGTATAAATATATACACCACTATGTCAACTGCATGAACATGAACACACATGAAATATACCAAAGAAGCACTGCAGTTTGCAGAAATGACACTTACCACCTGAACTTGTCCATCTTCACCAATTCGGTGGAACTGTACTTGCTGATTGGCCAGAGTGTAGTGCAAAGTTTGTGGGGCTGCAGTCTCGATATGAGCGGCTTCTTCTGTGATGCCCTCCTCTGGTCAAGAGTACAGACAGCATGGTCGTTAGTGTGTTTTGAAAAAGCAGATCAGGAATACAGTCTATGGAATGTTGTTCTTTCTGTTTCAGGCCAACTGCTTGGTGATGTTATGTTAATAATTCCTCGCTAAAACCTTGCACCAACCTAAAAGGTTTCGGTAAACAAATAAACAACAATAAGACCAGACTGTAAAACAGTAGCAAAATATCAAAAATCTTGTCGGGAATATCCTTCTGCTGACCTCAACCTTGCCTCATGTCATCGATTATTAATAAAACCAAATATGTTTTTATTACCCATTTTGTCAAGTGTAGGGGAAAGCAGACATTTTTCTGAAAATGAAATATGAATTTTCCAATGTTGAAAGAGATGAGTAGTTATATTTTAAAATTAAAAAGTAGAACTGAGTGTTAATAGTAAAACAAATAAATAAACAGCACATGAACCTGTTCCAGTGGTTCAAAATTAGGTCTGTCCTCCATCTTTCATTACTATGGAAACAAGCTTTTTCAAATACAGATGAGAAGCAGAATTGTTGGCCTCTGACAGTTCACTGGAAATCAATGCGTTTTTAAAATAGATGGTTCATTCTGGTTCATTACCGTTTAATCTCATTATAAAGAGGATGTTTAGTTTGTGATTTGCGAATTGCGATTTGCATGAGCGTTCACTGTTTGAACTCCTATCTGGGTGAAACTTGTCCAGGGTGTGAGTGACCTGAAGAGGAAGGCTCTGACAATCCAGCCCTCGTATGTGCTCACAGGATATTTGGGTTTTCCCTGCTGTCTCACTTTCCCTGGTCAGAGGTGAGAGGTGATGGCTCACAGGGAGGGAGGGACAGCGAGCATTGTGTGCAGATTACAACCATCTGTAGCAACGCTCAGTTCATTCTCACAGCTTGGGGTCAATGAAGTTTTAACATCAACCAACCGGCATGTTGTATTCGTGACATGGCTTAAGCGTGCATTCGTATTTATAATATTAGAAAAAAACATACAAACACAACTTTGTTCTGTATTCCTGTTTCCTTAGTTCCAGCAGAGTGAAAACACTTTGACTGCAAATACTCAAACATTGGGCCCTCACATTGTGGCATCTATTGTCATACTTTATCATCTTTTTGCCTCTAAATACGACAATAACAAATCTGACTACATTCTACAGTACAATTGAAATACTACAACTGAAACCAAAATGAACTAATAACAGTTGGTGATGCTTTCAATGAGCTAACCTGTAAATCAGAGCAGAACAACAAATAAATGATCTAATTGTGTTCTGTCAAGATTTTTCTGATTTAATTGACATAAAAATAAAAAATATTGTATATGTATAAAAAAATAAATAGGTCCAGGATTTAGAGAAAATATAAACATCACAATTTTACTCTTTCTTCTGTGACAATGTAAAGTAAAGTCATTTAGAACTAAAATCATGTGGAACATTTTGAAAAACATGTCATAAATCAAAGGCTCAAAGTAACTTCAGTTCTCAGTTCAGGGATGTAAACATGAAGTTGGTGTCATCTATTTTTCTTGACTTGTTGTGCTCAAGATCATTTGTCACCAACAACACCACATCATATGGCGTATTCTGTGGTTTTTGCAAAAGGAAGTTTAGGAGGAGGAATCCTCTCCCTGTTGTCCGTCCCCCAATGAATAACAGAAGCAGAGAACAAAACAAAACGTTTTACAGCTTCTAAGTAAAAGTCGGTATCTCACCTGTCGCCGAACTGCGAGGTGTGCGTTTTGAGAAGCTCTTCACAGCCAAACTCTGGCCACGCTGCTTCCGTCTCCAGGCCGTGCGACACTTGGAGTCAATGCTCTGCTTGATGCGATACCAATCAGATTCACTGATGGTAAATTTGTGGAACAAGTGACCTGTGGGTTAATGAAAATTCAGTTTGAGTTATTTATTATCATCATTTGCAAGCTAGACTTTATTTAAAAAGGTGTAATCTTTAATCTAAATGGACCTTTTTAGCCCATTTAAAGCCTTTAAAGTTTTTCACTGCACACTTTATATGTAAGGGAGGAAACCAGAAAACAACTAATTTACTGATTCTTCCATTTAAGACAGCTTTTGTGAAGTTTGAAACTGGATGCTACAGATTTATGGCTGTCTCAGTTATAAACTGTTGGCTGGTATGAGCCGCTTGACAGTTTGTTTCTTCATAAATTAACCATGCCACGCCAGCCTGAGGATAGAAACTGAGGTAATGAGGGCGTGATATGTATGTTCAGTGAGATGGCAGTGCATGGCAGGTCCTGTGCTGGCAGGTAGGGCAGATGCTGCTTAATTCCTTTTCCTGTTTTTTTTTTTGCGAGTCACCAAAAAGTCACCTGGCACCACTCCAGGCACTACATACTTCCATGGCGGTGTGAATCTGCAGGTACCTACCCACCCAAACTGCTTAGAGGATCACAGACCATGACATACACAAACACATGGGGTTTATATGCTGCAACAGGCGCAAGGAGAAAGTACAGTGCAATGTGGTACCCATGCATGTCTTTGCAATGCTGTCTGAACCACGTAACACTTTAACCAAAGAATTTTCATTAACATGCATTACTTTGCCATTGTAACCTCGTTGTGTGTTCCTAATGGGGATTCAAAGAGTTCACTCTGTTGTGGGTGACTCCATTAGGCTCTTTCTACCAGACATGTGCTTGTCATTTAGAGTCTGGTATGTTATAAAATGTGTTGCACATTAATCCGTGTGTGTGCAGTGATGAATGCATGTTGTTGTAACCCGCCTTTGGAATACAGACTGCAATCTATTTCTGTGTTCAATTCAGTGTCGCTTTGTACAGGAATGTGGACGAAATGTGGGAAGGTCTCAGGGAGTTCATGTATGAATGCAAGCGAGCCAAGCCTGGAGCTAAAAATGGCTTCATTTTATGGCGAAAGCAGAGTCAAAGTGGTGGAAACAAAAGTTCTAAGACCGATGTTGTGATTTCAATCAGTGTGTCACATTTTAGTAACTAAAACATGAGACATGTCTTTCAGGAGTCTCCAACAGCTTTAAAAAATTTTACCATTATATGTTGTCAAACTTTGAACTGTGCTGCGATTTATTTGATCAGACATTTCAACACTCAAAAATAATCAATTTTAGAAAATCAGAGCTAACATCAAATTTTTACTTAAATTTAAGTGGAATGTCGCTAATAATCAGCTTTGCGACAGGCTTTGATCTTGCTGCATTTATTTATTTTTCTTTTCCCAAAACTGAAATAGCATTTAAAAAGAAACGTCAGTCCTTAGACCAGGCAAAAAGGCAGGTTGTGATCTGGTATAAGGGAGCATCGTCCCAGAATTCTCTCATATTTGTTCTTACATATTTTTCATGTGACAAAACAATGTTCTAAATGAGAGATAATGTAATTTTATAGACACTTCCTTGGCAGTTCCTGGGGGTCTGCCATTTTCAAGGATTTACCTACCTAGTTCCCTAACTACAGCATTTGTACCGTTGGTGGTACTTGGGCTCCCTCCCATGGTCAACACGAAGAATTCTATTCCCATTAGGTTTGTGAGGCACTTGGTTCTTAAATAAAGCAGTTGTATACAGGGGGTCTTCAACTTACGTCGGAGTTCCGTTCCCACTATGCGACGTAACATTAATGATTTTTTTGCTGTAAATTGGAACTCACATACTGTACATAAGTACCTATGTCACTCACCTAAACTAACACAATGGTAATATCATAGTCTCGGTACAGGTGTGGGCAAACCTTTCCTCAAAGGGCCTTGTAGCTGCAGGTCTTTGTTCCAACCAACCAGGAGCAGTGCTGCTTAGTTAGAAAACAAACCTATCTGACTTACACCTGGGAGCAATAATGAAGGGCGATAAGTTCTCAACACGATCAAGTGACAACATATTTGTCCGCTCTGCTCCCTAACCAGTTCCCATGTGAACTAGATAGCTAGTTGTCAGAATGATGAAACAACACTTTCTTAATAAATTTAAGGGAGATGGCGACATAACCACGAAGCATCATATGTGTTGTGCAGGATAAAGGGACCACTGCCTTGAAGCTTCGTGGAAATTGTCATTATTGGTAGCTGTTTCAGCAGTGGTTTGATATTTGTATTTTGCTTTTAGACATGTACAGAAATATGAAAAGTCAACATATGTTGGTACTCACAGCGAATGCCGTAGATCATGAGTGGGTCCAACTGCTTCTTGCCATGTTTGCCTTGGCCAGAAAGATTTGACGTGGCTTGGACCTCTCGGTGAAAAAGGTAGTCCAACAGAGTCAAAGCCATTTTCTCAGGTGTTCTGCAGTTTGTACTGATGTAAAGCATGTCAGCTGGAGATACTGGACAACGCACTCTTATCTGAGGATTGTTCTCATCACCCAACCAGGTGCCTTCAGGATAGTCATCTAAAGAACAAAGACAACTGTTTAAAAGACACAGTGGTCCTGTAACAAGCTTACAACCTGTTCATAGTATAGACAGATAAGTCTTCTTTACTGCATGTTCAAAAGAATTGTGAATAAACCCAAGAGGAAATTATTTCTGTGTCGTGTAATACAATAGCACCCCCATGTGGCCAAAATAGTTAACTTAAAAAATGAGAATGAATAGGGAGGTGAAAACCAAGGAGATCACATGAAAACAGGATATTATTCACATTCTATACGTTTGTTATAAACGTGTGGATTCATACCTTCTGAGTTGAGTGTAATCAGTGTAATGTTTTGGCTTGCATTGTTAGATTGGCCACCGTTGGAAACAATGTCACTGGCCTCTTAACCGCTCTCTTGATCTTCCTCAGTTCCAGGTACCTTGACTAGGATTGTGTTTTGCCGACGTCTATTCACGGTGCTGACAGAAGCCAAAAAGAAACAACCAGTAAATTCAAATAAACACAGATGTCATTAGATGTCACTTTTAATGAGGAAATGCAAGTCTATAGTGACTTGAATAAGTCACCATAACAACAACAGGAATAGCCATATCTGTAGAAAAGAACTAAAAAAAGCTACCCACTTGCTGAGCAGATTCTCCAGCGGCGTGTCCTCTTGGTTGGAGCATTTATTGGGTTCGCTGTTCACTATCACATTTGTTTGTGGCACAACACTGCAGAAAAGATAAAAACAAATAGGTATACAATACATGCATATCCTTTGATTAATTAAGAAATGCCTTGCTGAAGAGCACTTCTTTTGATTAAGGCTCGCAAATCCTTGTGCTACAGCTCACATACTTTTGCAGCAGAACAAATAATAAACAGATTATAAATGGTGAATATCCACATTGCCACTACCATAATATTCTCATTGTTTTTGTATGTGCTTGTGTGTGTGCGGTATTGGCTGCAAGAAAAGATAAAGCAACAACTTTTATTGCAGTACTAAATACAGTAAAGGCATAATCAAAAATGTGTCACACAGTTCAAAGATAACGATAGGCAAGTCTAGTTCAGAACGGGTAATAAACATTGTGTTCAGAGTAATCAGTGTTCAGGGTAATATGTTTCTGAAGTTGAATAATAAAATAGGAGGATACTGCTCCACTAAGAGACTGGGAGAAACAATCCCACTATTTGCATGGTTGTGTCAGTTAAGGGAACCACAAGAGGCTAATAGTAATAGTAACAGTACAAGTGTGTGGGCAGCAGGGAGGGGACGGGACACCACACAAGTGACTCTTCATCATTGTCATCACCCATTTGTGTAAACATCACTTATCTGCCCAACCCCAAAAATACCATGCTTTGTAACCACTTTAAAAAAGACAATAAAACACTTTTGTTCTCTTCAATCCAAAAAGGCAGAAAGTGACAAATGTGGTGACAGCAGGGTGGAGTGTCAGAAGAGAAGAGAGAATGCTGTGGTGATAAGTGACAGTGGGTTAGATTAAAAAATGGTAGTGAGGCCTACTATGGTGTTTGATTTGAAGCAGTGGTAGACAGGAAATGTTGCAAACCAAGCAAAGAAGACACAAAAGGTGACCTTTATCAACACAAGACACCATCAATAGGGTAATGAAGGGTGCAGATGATCTGCTGTAAAGCGTTCCGAGAACAGTAGCCCAACGAAAAGAAGAAAGATGTGCGTCTTCATAAAAAAGGGTCATGGCAAACTCCAGGATAAACTGAAAGAACAGTGTAGCCACATTAGTCTCTTTTTGAGACAGAGGTGCATGACACACAGTGGATCAGTGACAAGGCTGACATAAACATACCATTATGTGAAGCCTATCAACATGATGCAATTTACAATGAACAATAATGTACATTTTCTCTGAATCAGGGGACACCAGATTTTTAGTGCATTTTCAACTCACCATCGCACTTTGTTCCAAGTTTGGGTGGCTCCTTGGGGTGAACCTGCAACCATGGGAACCTGTATTGGGCTCTTGGAGCAGGGCATGGTGGTGTCTAGTTTGCGTCCGAGGGCTTTGCAAGTGGCATCCAGTGCCTCCAGCTTGGACTCGATTCCCTCCAGTCGCTGATTGACTGATGCAGTAAATGAAACCAAAAGGTTCTGGAAAAAACAGATATTGTGAACTTCTATATGACCCTGCTTTTTTTTTACTCAATAAATTAATAATTAAATAAACTTTTCAGATGACCTACCTTTATAAAATGTATTTCCTGGTTGTTCATGTTGTTCTCTAAACTGTTGCTCAATTTTCTCTTTTTCTTCTGCGGCCTTTCTTCATCATTTTCATTATTGTCGAGCAAGTCTTGAGAAAACATACATATAGTCATTGACTTTAAAAAATGTAATCTTAGCATTTCGTTTATATCTGGTGTACCTCTGGTCCAGTCAATATAATGCTTGCTAATTGCATTCACTACTTTAACAGAAATGTCATGTAATATTTATTATATTGATTTAATATTAAATCATTATTTTATTGTGCCAACTGGGAAGCCAAAACAACATTAGAATTAAGTCCCTTTAGCAATATATAACAGACAACAGTGATTAGCAGAACTGAATTGTTGTGACTCCAACCTGTACGTTCATCTTGTTGAAAGTCCTCCACTGTTATTTGCACAATTTCCTCCAAATCGGACATTGTTCACAACCAAGCTGAAAGAGCAGAACAGAAACCATTATGACACCATAAAATAGGGGAATTTGTTGTTTTGCAAGGTAGCACACACAATAAAACTAAGAGTACATAAATTACTTCTTGGTCATAAGTAGAATGTTGCCATACAAAAGTAAGAAACTACCAAGAGGCATTGGGTGGGAAAAATGTAAAACTGTAAAAAAAATGGAAGTGAGATAGAAGTGTATTTAAAAGAAATCACTGATATTCTATTTATTCAACTTTTATACAACAATTAAATCAGATGTGATTGGATTAAACTTTATTGATCCCAGACAGGAAAATCATGTTAGAGCAACAAACACATGACAAAGAATGACACAAGTGGAGAATAGCAATTAAAGCATTACAGCGGCACTGAAAGATATGTGCTTTAAACAAGCATATACAAAAAGAAAGTAAGAAAGACAAAAAACATACTAGAAAGCCAGAATATATAATGGTTATTATTTTATATTTCATTTCCTTTTTTTGACAGATGGGGCTATGGTTCCTTGATTGACTGTTATTGTTTGAAAGAGAGAGAGCGAGAAAGAGATATATACACAGAAATATTTGTTTATATGGTTTTAATTTGATGTTAACTGACTCAATATCTTAACCTCACAGATGATGTATTAGGTTGTTTGTGTTTAACAAAAAAAGGCGCTTAATTTGCAAGATAAAGCAGTTTTATTGCTCTAACCAAACACACAAGTCTACATTTTGAGGACTATTTTTTTAAACTTAAGGTGCATTTTCAAAGATCCCAAAATTACAACAGTGCAAATCTATTTTACTGCAAAATAAATTAACCTACCTAAAAACATACTAGGACCGTACAATCCTTTAATACAAATTCACAGTTAAGTTTAAACTTTTTTAAGACTAAGCTCAACCTTTTAAACGTACTTTTTAGTTTGTGCAGTCAGTTGAAGCACCATGGCAAGATAAGAAAGTAAGATATATATATATTATAAGAGTATAAAATATTTTTCACCTTGCTTTTAATAATAATAATTAAAACGAGTTTGTTTCAGGTGCTGATTGGTTCAGTAAATGTTTTTATATATATATATTTAAAAATCCCTGCAAAGGCAAATCCTGAAAATATATATAACGTTAGGTTATGCCATTTTCCTAAACCTCGTGTTATCCTCCGCAAATATTCAGTCATATTCAGTGTTCATGTGCTTTTTTTCTGTGCTTAAACAGTTAACTTCGAAGGGAATGCAAAAAAATGCAATGTAATTAATGACTCAGGACACATTCCGAGATACCAAAGAAAAAGCAGATACTATTATTTTAAGATATTTATAGAACAGGTTTCTAACATATACGTTTAAGTCTACTGTCACATTTGATCTATAGTAGTTTATATCAACGGTTCAAAAATATGTACTTTCGAAACTGCATAACATTTGAATTATATATTCTAAACTTTGGTTGGCAAAATAGGATAAAACTCTTGTAGCCAACACATGCTTCCACATTTACTTCTTTCATACAAGCCGTCCTGGCAGCCTTTCTGGCTAATCGGGCGGGGGTCTCGTCTTCCAAAATTAAAAGCACGTTTCCAAGAAAACAACTAGTACACTTTGTTTATGTTTCAATTATGTTATGTGCAACTGGATCAACAAACTTATTAAAGCCAAATATGACCGACAAAGAAAATGACAGCCCATATTAGCTTGCGTTGCTAAGTGGGGTCTAAAGCTTGGTAATACTGAAGAAGGTCCCGGCTAAAAGCGGCTGTGAGGATTCGCTGTTTGTGTTAGCGCCTTGTTTAGCATGCTAACGAGGCCTAGAGGCCGCCAAAATATGTTGCTAAAATCTTAAAACTTTAGCATGAAATGCCAGTTAAACTTCAGTTGTTCCTCGCTTCTCGCGTCCTGCACTGCACAACGATACATGTACCGTGTAAGTTTGGGTTATATTACCGTGTGAATGACGAATTCTCGTGTTGTTTGTAGAGATTCCGATAACGACGTTGTTCCTCGCGAGAGATTGGGCTTCGTGTCTTCCTCGCTAATTCAGAGGGAGTGCAGGCTCGTGTGCTCCGCAGGAAACACAACCGGAGATCCGCAGATCGTACCTCATCCAAACCGATTTTGTTGCTTCGCGTTCAAATACTACTTCCACGTTCTCTCTTTCCGTTTGATATGATTGATATTATGATCAAAGATAGGGAAAATCAATGTGAATAGGACTGTGGATATGAGTAGGCGCTGTATGTTATTGACAACTGGATTGTCCAATAGAAGCCCAGTGACGGTTACGTTTCCCTGTCACTTTCTTTAAGCGCTAAAGGAGACGCATGTTTATCAGTATGAACATTCTAACTTTCCATTAATTTATTTTCCCTTAAACTATCTCTAATTTTTCTAAAGCTAACTGTAACAATGTGACACACCCCCGTATATTTCATATTTTGCATGAACATATTACGTAATTATGCATTCTTCATTAGTTTATTATTGGGATATTTTAAATAGTTGGGAATCATTGGGAATGGGCTAATTCTGGTCTGTAACATTTAATGTAACCAGAACGTAATCCTCACATGTAGTCCTCACAACCGCCCTTCTTATATACTAGCAAAACATTGACTTCAAATAATTCAAGTAAACCTTCAGATGCCTTAGGGCAGGACTGTCAAACTAATTTTCACCGGGGGCCACAGCCATACAGTTCCCTTAAAGGGCCGGTTGTAAATGGAAGACTGCATAGATCAGGAGGCCCCAACCCCCGGTCCGCGGACCAGTAGTTTCAATCATTTACTCAGCACAAAAAAATGCACATCCCAATAACCTTAGAATCCAATAATTGATAACATTTACTTAATTTTTACCAATTTACTTCATTCAAAGAAAATCCATTTACTTTCTTTATTTAAAGATAATCTGGAAATATTTTTAAACAATAGGTCATTCAGACACTGTTACAAACAGAATAAAGGTTAAGAAACTCTGCTGCATGGATTTAAGTAAATGCTTTTTAAGCTCATACGGCCCACACAAACGGCTTGGCGGGCCACATTTGGTCCCCGGGCCTGGTTATCAGCAGACACATATGCCTTATGGTTTTAGGCATAATTTAGGTAAACTAATTAAGTAAAGTCTTCTTAACTTTTTACCAGAGGAGAATGTTATGAAATTATTAAGTACAACTTATTATTTAAAGTTATTAACTAAGTAGATTTCATTGGGCATTTTTCATTTTCAATTACTTAGTTGTACGATATTACATTAATTATTATAATGATATAGCCTACGTGTTGTAAATCTATTGATAACTGTTACTTAATATGTTAACATCACAAATTACGCACATACCTTTATATTGACAATAACTTTTTCTGTACTCTTCATACATCATTTATAAATACTTCTCAAAGGAACGACGCTTATTGAGGGTCACTGAAACGAATGGGATAGTGAGGGGCGGGGCGAGATCTCCCAGAGTTCTCCTCGTATCCACTCTACCTCTAACACAGATATACAGATTAAAAACTTGCTCAAACACCTCGTAGCCTCACTCCTGTTCCGGACTTAGAGAGAAAATCACACCCTGTGTTTGTAAAGCTCAGCGTGAAGATGAAACTCTGCGCAGAGCCAACCTTCTTCCTTCTAGTATCTGCGTTGTGTTTGTGCGCTGCTGCAGACCCAGAAGGTAAATCTGAAGTTGTGTGAAATGCGTTGTCTTTTTAACCAGTTCTTTGTTTAATTCGTTATGTTCAACAGTTTTCGCATTTTCTGTTGTGTCTCGATAGCCCTTAGCCTTTCACCTACATGCAGCTGACACTGTGTCCAAAGGTTAAAGTCCTAAGAAGGTTTCTGCTCTAAAAAGAAAGTAGTATTTACACCCACGACGATCTTTGATGTCCTGCAAAATTCATTAATAATCGTCATTTACTCGGCACAACAAAATGCGCAGCATCCCAATAACCTTAGAATCCAATAATTCAGATCAAAAACGGGAAATAGGGCAGGGTTTCTTAAAAGTGGAACTCTGCACGCACAGCACGGTTATTACTATATTACATAATATGTGTCGCAAACAAATGCCTTATGGAAGTAACGTTTATGGTCTTACATGCAACTTAAATGTCAGTCACCATATCTTTTAGGTCATTTTAGGATTCACTTGTTTGTCTTACTTTTTTATTTTTTAATTTTTTAATCAAATTCAATCAATGTAATACAAATTGAATAGTAAGTGAACAATAAAATAAGTGATAAAAATGAATTAATTAATTGGTGCAAAGCATTCAAATTGTAGACTTCCTTAAACAATTCCTATTTTGTTTAAGGAAAAGTATAATACATGATTAAAATAATAACATATATGTAGTAGTATTTTTGGGTGTATTTTTTATCAAAATAATATATATATATATATATATATATATATATATATATATATATATATATACTGTATATATATGTAGTAATATTTTGTCTTTATGTATTTTTTGTGTGTGATAATGTTTTGCAGGGCCGAAGGTTTAGGCTATTTTTAAGGGTCTGAAACTGTGAACTTAAGGCTTTCTAATGATGTTTGTTAAAGGTGACATATCATACTCCTTCTCTGCTTTTTGAATCAGTTGCATGGTGTCTTCAAGAGAGGTCTTTAATATGAAGTGGTCAAAATAAATAAATAATAATATATAAATAAATAAATCCAATCATCACAATATAGAAATTCTCTCTTCCAAACCCCTACTCCTGTTGTGACAGCGCCTGTGGTCCAAACCAAGCTCGGAGATCTGAGGGGTCAGTATTTTAGTGTGAAGGGGAAGGAGCCTGGAGTCCATGCCTACCTGGGTGTTCCATTTGCCAAACCCCCTGTGGGCCCCGCTCTAAGACTGTCTGCCCCTCAGCCTGTGGAGGGATGGGAAGGAGTGAGAGACGCAACCAAACAGCCTCATATGTAAGCCAGTGTGATTTACTATGGGTTAATTGTTCCGTTCGTGAAAGACACTGCACATCTAGGTGATAATCTGTTTTTCTCTGTCATAGGTGTGTTCAAAACACAAAGGTTATAAAGGACCTGCTAGAAGCTTTTGGTGGCTTAGAAGTCGAGGTTCCAGACATTTCTGAAGACTGCCTTTACCTGAACATTTACACTCCTGCTAACAGAGCTCCAGATGCTAAACTCCCAGTAAGTATGTGTTGCATCAATCATTCCTCATTTATCAAGCACCTTCGCACCAAATTAACAGAATGGCTGATTTGTCGATGTGTTGACGTTAGTGGCACGAGTCGACGTTCTCTGGGAGGAGTGAAAAAATCAGTGCCCTGTTATCGACACATTGGTGGCGGGTTAGCCATGGCCTTCAAAACTTGTGAGCACATGGCCTCATGTTAAACTGGTGGGGACGTAGTCTACCTCTGTATAAAATTAGACTGGCTTCCATGAAGAAACACAACAGAATAAGTACATGCACGTTTGAAAAAAAGACAAAAAACTTTAAATTTGATTCTTTGTGAAATGTCATTTTCTTAAAAAAAAAGACTAATGACACTAAATATTAATCACCGAGTCCCTTATTCATCCCTCAATGGGAAAATCTACAGTGTGTCTTTGCAACCAACATTAAGTATGTGGTTTTAACTTACAAGCTGTCACAGGGGGGCGCCAATAGGGATATGTCGTTCCTCTGGGAATCGAACCCAAGTCTCTCTGTTCTCAGCTTTCAGGCATTCAAACCACTATACTACAGAACTGCAAATGTGATAAACATAACATAAAAAAATGGACACAAGAGAATAGTGGGCCACACCTTGTTTGAACGGACAGGAAGCAGCTGTTTGCTCAACACACCACGGAGCCTTAAAACTTCACCCCCCGAGCCACAGACCGCACCCGTTTAACTACTCAACAACCTTTTGTATTTGTGTTTTTAAGGACGAATATTTTCTCTCCAGGTCATGGTCTGGATCCACGGTGGTGGCTTTGCTATGGGATCTGCGTCAATTTATGATGGTTCTGCACTGGCTGCTTACCAGAATGTAGTTGTGGTTCTAATACAGTATCGCTTGGGACCCTTGGGCTTTCTCAGGTAAAACCCCCATGGTTACCAGGTAACTTGTAAGTAGGGACACACACGGGCCTGATGCGTCACTTAGTTTACTGGAAAGCAGGAGACTTTTTAACTGAAATGCACCACTGATGTAAAAGCCTTACCCACAGATCCTTTTTAAATATATTATATCCTTAGCTTAATCCATGTGTTGTTCAAGGTTTTGTCTTATAGTACGTTGCTCTTTTTAAATGCTCTTTTTAAACCGAGTATGCAAATGATTTCCAAGTGATATCCTTTTCGTAAAAAATGTTATTAGCAAAAGCTACCTTGGTTTACTAACTCTGTTTTGTACCAAGCACGGGAGATGAGCACATGCCAGGAAATTATGGAATGATGGACCAGGTAGAAGCTCTGAAGTGGGTCCAAGAGCACATTCACAATTTTGGTGGTGACGCAGATTTAGTGACTATATTTGGGGAATCTGCTGGAGGAGTAAGCGTTTCGCTCCTGGTAAGGATGTTTCTGCGCAACTTAGACACTATTAAGTGGATGATCTTGATTTTGTGCCATTAGTCATAGTTAGCCGGAGTGTTGCACTCCAACTAACCTCGACCACGCATTCAAATGCTGTAATTGGTTGAGACTCTCTGTGATGCCAGCCCAAAACCAGTACAGAAGAACACCCTTTGCTCATTTTGTAGTGTCCTCTAAGTCAGACAGTAACAGACTCACAATTAGAAATAATAATTAGAAAAAAAATATTGGCCATAATTGCTTAAAGCATACGTGTCAAACTCAAGGCCCGGGGGCCAAATGCGGCCCGCCGAGCCGTTTGGTGTGGCCCGCGGGGCTTAAAAAGCATTTAGTCCATGCAGCAGAGTTTCTTAACCTGAGAAAGTTTTTTATTACACAGCAATGAACAACATTTGTAGCTTGTAGTAATTAATAAGTGACCTATGGACTGGTACTGGTCCGCAGACCAGGAGTTTGGGACCCCTGATCTCCACAGTCTACCAGTTACAACCAGCCCTTTAAGGGGAACTGTATTGCTGATGTGGCCCCCGGTGAAAATGAGTTTGACACCCCTAGCTTTAAGCATTGACCAAAAATACTGCATTCACTCACCTGGCCCTAGTATTCATGCAAGTATCATTATAATTATATAATATATATATATATATACTGTATATATTATTACAAGTAGTAAGTGCAAAGTTGTTACCCTTTACACAAAACCTGTTGTCACTGCTGTTCTCATCAACAGCTTCTCTCCCCCATGGCTGAAGGCCTGTTTCACCGTGCCATTGCCGAGAGTGGCACAGCTGGAATAGCTACTCTCATCGGAACTAACCCTCTACCTGTGATGCAGGTTAGTTTCCCACTGCCTTGAATTGAAATCTCAAAGGATATGTCCTTTCACAATTAATAAATAAATGACTTTATTAAGTAATTAAATAATAATTATTAATGAAATAAACTTAACTGACTTAAGTTTACTTCCAAGTTAATATTATTTGTCAAGAATCACTAAAATGTTAACATAAGGAAGAGGGTAAAATATAAGAGAGACTGTGACAAGATCCAGTTGTGCACTCCTTAATTGGGTTTAAGTTTTTTCAAAGTGAAAGAGTAAAAATTGTTTAAGATTGTGTGTGGTGTTTTTAATCACAATTCTAAAACATAATACTAATTAGTTGGAAAACATATTACATACATTTTAACTTTTTTTTCACAATTGATAGACATTCCAGGTGACCCACGTGAGGTCACGACCCCATAGTTTAAAAACACTATTAGTGGAATGAGATTGAGATTTCAACAGTAGAGCACAATAATAATAACAATATTTCTTAATATGCTACTTTTATTTCTGAATCACACCTTCTATCTGTTTCCTAGGCTGTGGCAAATGCCTCTGGCTGTAGCCTGGAAAGCACAGAGAAGATGGCCCACTGCATGAAAAATGTAGATATGGATGTCATTCTGCCTTTACTGGAGGTAAGTATAATTGAGTCATATATATATATATTCTATAGTATTTCACTGCAGTAAAGCCGCACCATGTAAGAGCTACACCAGGCATGGGCAAATGCCTGGTGGCCCGGAGTCAAAAGTTTTCCCACACCTGAGCTACACTGTACTTGATTTACATTTGGTCAAATCAGAATTTAAGCGGTGTGTGTGAACTTTATTTCCATAGGATTGGGCTCGAAGTTTACAGTGCTCTCTTTGTTTATTCTCTAAAGGACTCTTCGTTATTATACACCATAACTGTCGATGGGTCTTTCTTGAAAAAAGCTGTGGATGAGCTCTTAAAAAACCACGAGGTCCACCGAGTGCCTTTCATGACTGGTGTAACAGACGATGAAGGAGGCTGGCTACTCCCCAGGGTCAGTGTGAAATACTCAGTTTTCCACTATTTGTGCGTGTCACTGACGACCTTATTAATCGCTACTACTCTTTTCTCAGTTTCTTTCCCAAGCAAACTGGACAGAGGGAGTGGATCGGGAGATTTTTTTCAACATCCTGTTCTTATTTTACCCTGACGTAAGCTAACGACATTAATCCCTTTTTTATTTGACATTCTTTGCTTCTCTGAGAATGTGTCCTTTTGTTTGTCTCAAGCCCAAAGACGCAGTCATCAGAGACTGGATAATAGAGGAATATATTGGAACTGGTGAAGACCGCGTACAAAACAGAAACAGATACACTGAGCTCATAGGGGACGTTTTTTTTAATGTGGCGGCTGTAAAGACGGCTAATGCTCATAGAGGTAATCTTAAACGCTGCGTTTTATCACACTTGCTTTTATTGTCACACATTAACAATCCTCGAACCTGATACCAGATGCTGGTGTTCCTGTGTACGTGTATGAGTACCAACACCCTCCCTTGATGGTGAGGAAAAAAAGACCAAGTTTTGTTAGGAGCGACCATGGGGACGAAATATTCATGGTGTTCGGATTGTGTTTCACAACTGCTCATGTGAAGATCCCTGGTAAAACACTTTATGACACTCACACCTGTAGTTGTGTTCTAGTTGTAGTAGTTTTTCTTGCATTGAAACGTTAATTAGATATGATCATTGTTTTCAGAGGAATGCGTTGAAGAAGAGAAAGAATTGTGCAAAACCGTCATGAGCTACTGGGCCAACTTTGCTCGCACGGGGTAAGACTTTCTGTTTGGTTACTTTCATTGACATGGAAATGGTACAATGAGTTTTTAGAGAACGTGTGACATGTGTTATTTGTGTAGCTCTCCAAACGGAGACGACCTTGCGTACTGGCCAAAGTATGGAGAAGAGGAAAGCTACCTGGAAATCAGAGCAAAGGAACAGGTAGTAGGTCATCACCTGAAAAAGAACCACTTCGTCTTCTGGACTCAGACTCTGCCGCAGAAGATACGAGAACACAGAACGGAAATGAATCATGCTGAGCTGTAACAAAGCCTCTGCTGTTGTTGCATTCGTTTGTTTCCTAAAACAACTTCACCACTGCAACATACGTTGCACCTAATAACTGTTAAAAGTTGTAGTTTTCACACATTGCACTAATATTACAGAGGATATTTTCAGAAGATGTTTCTATGCTGATGATGCCGAACTGTCTATGTCTGTCTGAAAGTGTCTGTCTGGATTCTGAAATAAAGAATAGAATTTGATTGTGTTTACTTTTATTTTTTGTATAATGTGATAACGCAGAAATCACTGGGAAAAAAACTGTTCCTCTGTTCCTTGCAAAAAACAAAAATTTGTTTGTTGCATAGTTGCAAGGTTTATTAAAACTGATCACCCTGCGTAAACCAGGTATTCTCAACTGGGTGGGTCGAAAAACATGTTGAGGACATGAACATGTGAAATTATAAAGGCAAAAATAAACTGGTTGTATTTATATACATTTATATATATATATATAAAAAACTATAAGTCACAGTTCTTTTATCCTTTGTCTGGCTTTACGACTTAATCAGGTGTGACATATATTAAAATATATAATTTCATGTTCGTTATTTTATACTGACAGCCACTAGAGGGCACTCTAGGCTTGCGTACCAGTATCTGCTACTCCTGTACCCTGGAAATTTACATGTTCGTTATTTTCACACTGACAGCCGCTGGAGGCCACTCTAGCTAGCTGGTGGGACATATACTTTGGAACTACTCAGAAATTACATAATGTAATAAAAAATGTAATAAAATGTAATAAAAATAAGTCAATCAGACTTGAGCACAAAATTTTCATTTTCTATTGTTTACTAATGGAAAACACATTTTGTTGTTAGAGCCCTATTAAACTCGTAGTCCACAATAAAAAGCACATATGTGGCAACTGCTGCAAAAGTTACTGATTACTAGTGGACCTTCAGTGCTAAGAAAGATAACAGAGCCTGATTTACTTGTGGGCTGTGCAAACAAACAGTTCCACAGCGACCAATGAGTAATGTGGTCGCTAAAATAAGTCACAAATGAGCACATCAATCTGTGTGGTTCACCAGTATGTCCCAGTTTTTCTTTTTTAATTATTGTTACATTTAAATTACACTTGCAATGAATGTGAAGTCATCATGAGATAAAGATTTCTGTCGAAGCGCAGAGTAAAGCTGAAGCACGCACACACAAGACATAAACCAAAAAAAAAAAATCCAGTTTATTTCATTTATTACCGAGTAGAGTCAAGCTGGAAGGCTCCCTGAAAGTCTGATGTGAGCAGTCTGAGGGAACATAAACCCAGGTGAATTATAAACAATGAAATTGAATACATAACAAAATAATACTTCCAAGTCCTCGGTAGTGGTAGTAGAAGTAGTAGTAGTAGTAGGCTATGGGACCTAAAAGATAGTACAAAAGAAATGCACTGAATTCAGAGTAAATCAAAAACACATGAAACCCAAATCAAGAGTCCAGTAAAGGTATTTTTGTTAATTGATGTGGAAACATGCAGAAAAAAAAAAGTTTTTGATGATAATTCACATTACTGCCCAGACAAGTGCACTTGAAGTAAAGAGTTACTGAGCATTACCATCAGGCTGCATTAGGACTTTACAACTTTATACTTTTCAAGCTGTTTGTGTTTGGCGAGCCTGGTGGGATGTAGGAGCGGAGGGAGCAGCGATGCAGGCAACTAGTCTGACGAATCAGGTGTCAGGGATTCAACTACAGCCCAAATTAAAGACAATTTGCAAATGGTATACGGTTCTGTGTTTGACCATGAATACTCTGAGCGAGCAGGAAGTGTCTAGATTGTACTGCTAAGTCCTGCTAATTTACCACAGTGAGTTTTCATAGTTCCCTTTTTGCAGTGCGTTCCTTTCATTTACCTGACATTCCTGTGCTGACAATAAAAACTATGGCACATCTTGACTGACCCAGGCTCATGGTCATACATACAGTAGATAACGTCACTTAATATGAGCATTAAAACAGCATGATTAACAATGCGAAAAATAAGTTACTGGCTTCTTACGACAAATCAATATGAACATTTTTTTGACAGAAATGGCACCTGAGATGCATATAAAGAAAAAAAAGCCAAAGATACTCCTTCAAGAAATCTAAACATCATGCCCGGGTAATATTATGAGAGTATTATGACGACATCCAAAATAAAACGCGACATGCAGTTTAAAATGTTGGGCACTGAGATGATTATAATACTTTACATATCAGTTAATTAATACATCACCTTTTGTCTTCTTCAAGCACTACTTATTATAGACACGGTTTTATAATAATCAGAGGCACATACCATCAGGTTCATGGTTAAGTGGTAAGAAATATTGGTACTTCTTCTGCGGGGAATAAATTAATTAATTAATTAAAAAAATTAAACTTTTGTGACCTGTTTTCATGCTATACAGGGAGAACAGGGATCACGTGGGTGAGGCGCTGTTATTTTGTCTTCTGAGGATGTTGGGACGGTCAACAGAAGTGCTGTGTGCAAGGGCGGGTCAATAATCTGCTTTGTTCCAGAGCCAAAACATTTTGGGTGAAATATAGAATCTGTCGTGTTAAGGGCACGTGCTTACATGAACGAAAAAACAACACCGGCGGAGGAAAGAGGTGATTTCGTTGGGTTGGCATGGGTTCCTGTTACGCATATCTATAGGGAGAGGAAAACTTAAAGAGCATCAGGATGTCCAGGACTGCATGTTGTGCAGCATGGCCTCAAATCGCTCCATGTTCGGGGCATGAGCGTGGGGTAGATAGTCCGTCAATCGACTATACAGGCTAAAAGACTTCAACTCCAACCAGATGAAACCGAAACGGTCCTGGTCGAACAAGACAAAGAGACCCGGTGTGCGCTCTGGACTTGTGAAGCCATGTCCCGCAATCAAGCCCGTTCCATAGAAACTGAAATGAAGAATATCAGGGATATCAGTTCATCGTGGTTCACAGTTCTGAGCCCGAAAAGGTCAACTTAGATTTACTTCTGGTTCTTGACATGCTTATGGGATTTGATAATGTTGTGCCAGCACTTTTGGCTATGTATATATATATATATACAGTAATCCCATCTCCTACCGCAGTAGTTGCGTTCCGAGACCCACCGTGAAAATGCGAAAAAAAAAAAAATCAAAGTAGAGGCGAGATAGTTATATTATTTACGTATATATTTACCTTTTACTCCCCCACACTGTTATCAACCCTCCCTAGACTGTATCCCTTTCCCACACTTATATGCACAGTAGATATACACAGATATTACGTAAATGAATCAAAAACACGACCGTAAAAAACAATGTCAAATACATTCTTATTAAAATTCAACGTACATGTACATTGTGGGGGCGTGACGGAGGTTAGTTGGTGTGGAGATTTGGGGGTGCGTTAACCTGGTTGGGATATAAAAGGGGGAACCTACAGTTCCCCACCTGCTTGGCTGCACCATCTTACTTTCAGCAACAACGTTAGCTCACGTGCACATGATGACACTGATGTTACGGCCCAAATAAAAAAATTAATTCAGGAATCGGAGCCTTTTGTAATCCTTTTGAAGTCAGTTCTTACCATTTCCTGCAGGTGCGAGGGTAGACCTCGTTACGAGCCATCACCCCCACTGGCAGAACGAAAGGCTGGGATTCAGGAGGGACGGAGCTGCTGCTGCTGCTGCTGCTGCTGCTGGGACCAGGCTGACAGTTGTCTGAACAGGCACCATCCGCCTTCATCCCTTCTCCTCTGCTGGCATCACTACAGCATCCATCTTCTCCGCCGCTGCTCGTAACGACGAGGCCCTTAGCCTGTTGTTCTGCCTCCCTCTGCACCTCCTCGTGTACCTGTATAACAAGCCGAGACAGTTTTTCTATTCTGCACTGCTGCTCCAAGTCTGGAAGGATGATGGGCCGCCTCAAGTCCACGTCCAAAGTAAGTTGCCCTGCAGGAACGTTGGGGTCTCCCTGAAAGATTATATATACATTTTTCATGAGTGCCAATTGGACAAATCTGGGAAAGATCGGCCCTTGTGATTATTCATGGACTTACAGTGAGCTTTGTTGCTCTTGCCGAGGTCCCATGGAAACTGAGCATGACAATCTCTAAGCCGTGACTCCCGTACGTGCCTTTAAAGAGACCTGGCTGCAGCAGGTTGGAGGGCATTGAAGGAGGAAGGTAGATCCTTCGGTATGTTAAGCAGTTACTGTTGAAAGACAGAAAAATTGACACATGTTCAGATTTGTTTTTATTGATAGGTGGAAAATGATCGCCTCAAAATAACAAAACACTCGTACTCGTATTGACTTGTATAGATGAACTTCATAAGAATGAGCTCCTGCATGTGCTCATGGAAGATGTCTTCCAACGTCCGACCCCATTCTTCCTCCAACCACGTCCTAAACTCCTACAGACACGGAGACAAATGTGGAACAGTAAAAAAAGCTAAAAAGAAAATAGGTAGTTTCTATTGGCAGATTTCAGAGAGTAAGAAATCAATTTTGTATCCCACCTCCTGTCTGCCTCCTGGCATGCGGTGATGATCTGTCTGGTTACATTTTGTTGAAAATTCGTCCTTTTTGACAGTCTTAAAAAAAAAAAACAAAAAAAAAAAAACAACAAATTAGAATCTATTTTTTTCCTGCTGCTGACAGCAAAGCGACTTCCCACCTGTATGTCTCCTTTGTGTGGACCCTTGTGTCCATACATGCACTCCACTGTCGCCTTTTGGTTGTCCCACAAATGGACACGGAACAGTGGCCGTCTTCTCATGGGATCCTCCACACGAGGGTCATGGGGTGGCAAATACATCCAGCCAATGATGAAGAGCCCATCCACCTGGAGGGACAGATACTGAGTTAAGGATGGATGGATGGATGGATGGATGGATGGATAGACATTACAGTTACTTACAACAACGTTGAGCAGTCCACCATAAGGACCTATGTCAGGCTGCCATAGGCCCAATATATGTCTATATGGGTGAAGCACTGCAACAGAAGAGCACGGCAGCAAATAAATACAGCTTTTATGTTCTTAGCTAATTTTTAGTACCTTCAACAATTAGTAATTCTGTTGGAGTAGGGGGAGGCCACTTCCAGCAGCCCACTCTTGGCTTCGCACAGACCGAGGCTAGAGACAGAGAGTGAGAATGGCCAGAGAGACAAGTGCTGAGAGAAAAGAACAGAATGATGGGTGAGGTGATGTTACTTAAACTTAGTTGGCATTTTAATTTTCAATGTCTTTTTAATCTCTTTCACAGCTTCTGCTTTAAAACATGGACTAAGGCCATGGATAACCAAGAAAACCTGCTACTGTACACAGAGGAAAACGACCAAACAAGATTACTGTGTTGAAAAAATAAAATAAAAATAAACATCTATTTTTTTTAAAAAGAGAGACAACAATTGTGCTTAGCCTAAGCCTGTACTCATCGTGGAGTTGCTCATATGCACACATTGTCAGACTTGTCTGTCACATCCTGTCCTGCCAGCTCAGTTAATCTGTTTTTTATTTTTATTTTTTTTTGGTTTATTTTTGTCATACCTGTTTTTTTGTTGCTTGCTCTTTTGTCTTGTTACAGATCTACCACTTCCTGCCCCCGTGTGTACACTCCCTCCTGTGTGTATATCAATTTCCTGACCACCCTCTGTTTTGCCCTCTTTTCTGGACTTTTGACTGATTGACACTTTGCAATATTCTACTACTGTATTAAAATGACACAGACTTGTCTGTGTTGTTTGTAAGTGTCTGTATCCTAATTGGCCACTTCTACTAAATAGACCAATAAGCTTTCAGTGTGAGGAGGCTTTATTTATCCTAATCCATTCAAATATGTACTTTTTCAACAGTGATTTAACTTTTTATAGAATTTGGAACCTGATCACATGTATATTTCTATCTGTACAAACCATGACTTGCTGCCACCTAGTGACTGGAGGCCATTGGAACCCCCTCACGCCCCCCCGGCACCTCACTGCGCCACCCCAGGGGGGCCCGCCCCACTGTTTGAGAAGTACTGGTTTAAAGGATTTTGTCCACAGAATCAGTTTTCCTTTACAAATAGCCTAAAATATACACAACTGAGAGGATAAATGAATAGACAATGTTTTTTGTTGTTGTTTATTTAAAGAAAAGGTGGCTAATTCTTTATCTTCCATTTCATGTGTTTAACAAAGAAAGACACGTGTCTTAATAATAGATTATCAGGTTGACAGTGTCTTCTACCGTCTGCACTTTAACTGAGCTATATTTCATTATTAGATTTTGAGAACCTTCACATTTATCATTGATATAACTACCATTCCGGAAACCATTCAGTCATGCAATAACAATAATATGAGCAATGTCTGTATTCTCATGTGTAATATTGCTCACCTGATCAATTTATGTACCACAGTTAAAGACATAATTTATTATCTCAGCAGCAATATCTCAAGTAAATATACCTGCAAACTGGACAGTATAATGTGGAGGGATGAATGAAGGCACTTTGTTTAGAAGAGCGGTAACTTTTAACATGCCTAAATCAAACACAAATAACAATAAAAAATGAATCAAATGATGGCAGCAAATTTAACAAACAACTTGGGTTCTCAAAAGCGCAACGAGTTCTAGATACATCTAAATCAGGGGTCCCCAAGCATTGGTCTGGGGACCGGTGCTAGTCCGTAGGTCATTTGGTACACAGTGGGACACAGTGAAAAAATGTACTTCAGTTTTACAAACTTACTTCATTCAAAAAGAATCCAGTCATATCCCTTTACTTTTTTTAATTCAAAGATAGATAAACAGAATGAAGTCTAAAAGATGTTTTATCTGATCCTTTAATGATGGTGCAGTATTACCGGTCCGCAGAAATGGCTGATACCGACTGGTTCTTGGTAACAAAAAGGGTTGTGGACCGCTGCTGTAAATCAAACTCACATTTAACATAGAGGTCCCTGCTGGACACCTGACCCACTTCCATCTTCCTCAGGTCTTCCTTCATGCCAAACTCTGCAAAGAAAAACAAGCTTTTAACATTCATCAAAATTCCATTGTTTATAAGGTCGACAGTCTGTTAAAAGCCTTTTCATCAGTGACATGTTTAGTAAGGTTTAAAGTAAGACTTCACTGGTACATGATAATAGAGTCCAGGTGCAGGCAGGTCAGGCTGCGGAAACAGCATGCATTACATGGCTATTGCACAAATATTGTGTTTATTGCAAGAGAGAACTTGTGCCTTTGGCAGTATTGAGCAGATGATTAACCTGGTGACCAGACTCTCGGATTCAAATTGGTTACATATTAACTCATTTCCTGTATGCAAACACAGCTGCAATTTCATCTGACTGATCACAGGCATGAATGAACAACGGAACATGTTGTACGTCATTGAGTTTCATTTCATTTAATGTACCAGTTCAGTCACAGGGTGATTGATTGATGCACTGACTAGTCATTACAGACGTACCTTTTAGCATTTAAAAATCAGGGTGTTAAGAAAAACAGTTTTTCAGAAAAAACGTTTTTATTATGAAAAGTGTTCGACTTTGACAGGGGCGGAAATCTATCGATCAGGATGAGCTGAAGACTAAATACACAAATTAATGCCAATTTCTGGTTCATTTCAAATCAACAAGAGGTCCTCGGTTTGAGACATCTTTGATTTACTTCGATTTCTGGTAACGTCGCAATCTTCCCTACATTTATAAAGAAAGGCTTGTCACATCATTCCAGCATATGGCGTTAAAACAAAATACACACAGGAACTAGTGGGCGAGCGGCGTGGACGAATATGTTGTCATGCAGTGATATATGCGTAAGGCGGCTTTGTTTACATTCACCAGTTGTACGTCATATATTGGATTGTGTGTACATTCACTTTCTTTCGTTTGTGTTGTTTTTAAGGGAGCATTTTTGCCCTTCATTATGGCTCTGCGGTGTAAGTCAGACTCTTCTGATGTTTTTATGTCCTAGATTATGATGTTACCACTGTGTTAGCATAGCGTAACATAAGTACTTATGTACAGTGAAAATTGAGTTCTGTCGCAATGATCAAAAATACTGTCGCATCAACTTTTATTGATGCAAATGGAGCAGCAAATCCCTCTCGTTGTTTTGGCATGTGTTGTTTCTGAATTACAAAAAAATAATTCCCAATTTAATGATGTAACAATTAAATTATGACATAAGAAAATAAACTTAACATATCAGGTTAGTTAAATTAACCTTATTAAAAGGATCAATTATACTGAATGCCACAGTGGTGATTGTGAATAATTGAAGTGCATTATGTGTGAAATCTGCTCAGACAGGAACAGGCAAGTCATGTGGGAGAGAAGCTGCAGAGCTCTAGCAATCACTGTTACAACAGTCTGATACAGCAACAGTGAGATGCTACTCCATAGTAGTTGTGTTGAAGCTCTGCATTGGCTCATGCTATTGTCCACTGTTTAGAGGTAACAGGAGCCATCTCATGTTACTCATGTTACTTCATAAAATCTGAAATGCTGCTCCATGTCATACTATAC